AACATCAGCCTTCCTGCTCCTCTGATGCTGCTTGGCCTGCTGTGTTCATCCAGCTCTACGCCTTGTTATCTGAGATTGAAGTAATTCAGTTTCTGATTATTATTCATTTAAGATGACAATTGGGCACAATGAGTGTATATATAATACATACAGAGAATATATCAAATACTCGGTATGTATCACAAAACTGGCTGCATAATACCAACTGGCTGTATGTTATCGAATGGACGTATTTCACACACTGGCTAAATACCACATGATGGGTAGTTAGACTCTTGTTACAGATTGTCCAGCACTTGTGTGGTGTGTTTATCAAACCAGGCCTAGACTTTATTCAAGACTTCCTGCAAGAGGGCAAGGGCTGTTTTGTTCTCTGAAGAATTCCAAACATGAACAAATATTTTGCAATGATCAGTAAACATTCCTACTTTGACCTTATAATGAAGGCAAGGTCATTGATGAAGTAGCTGAAGATGTTTAGGCCTAGCACACCACCCTGAGGAACTCCTATAATTAGCTCCTTGGGCTGAAGCAACTGACCTCCAATGATCATAAGCACCTTCCATTGTGCTAGACATGGCTCCAACAAGTAGAGAGTTTCCCCTAATTTCCAATTAGCGTAAATTTTACTGGAGTTCCTCGATTCCACATAATTGTTGCCTTAATATCAAAGGCAATCACTCCAACTCAGGAATTCAGCTCTTTTGTCTATGTTTGGACCAAGGCTGTAGTGAGGTCAGGAGTCAAATGGTCCTAGAAGAATCTAAAATGTGCATCAATGAAGGGATTATTGTGGATTATTGAGCAGTGATTGGCCAGGTTGTAATAGTCCTGTCTTTGTGACCAGAACATAGGAAAAACCCATCTGGTTCATTAATATCCTTTAAAGGAAGGAAACTGCCATCCTTATGTCATCCAGAATACATGTGACTCCAGATCCACAGCAATGTGATTGACTCTTAACTGCAATCTGGGATGGGCAATAAATGTTGGCCTAGCCAGTGACACCCATATCATATCAATGAATAAAAAAAAATTGCAAAAACTATGTGCTACAGAAGGGTCTGCGATAGGGTTAGGGTCAGGGTTAGGGTTAGGCCCGAAACGTCAGCCTTCCTGCTCCTATGATGCTGCTTGGCCTGCTGTGTTCATCCAGCTCTACACCTTGCTACAGAAGGATCTGGATCTCCGGGTATGTGAATCACAGGAATTTAGTATATATGTAGAACAAGTGATGAGGAAGGCAAATGGGCTGTTGTTGCTTATTACAAAGAGAATGGAATTAAAAAGTAGTTAAGTTTTGCTACAGTTCTATGGTGCGTTGGTGAGATCAAATTTAAAGTACTGTGTAGAGTTCTGGACTCATTTCTTACTTGAGAAAGAGCATAATATTATGAGAAGCAAGTCAAAAAAGGTTTATTTTGACTCATTCCTGGTATATTGGTTGGATCGAGGAGGGTATCTTATTGAGAAAGGTTGGGCATGTTGGGTGTGTATCTGAGATAGTTTAGAAGAATGAGAGGTGGTCTTGTTCAAACATATGTCCAGAGAGGAATTAACAGGGTGGATGGCAAGAGAATGCTTCCCCCTCTGGGAAAGACTTGAATTAAGTGACACAGTTTAAAAATAAGAGGGGGTTCTTTCATTTAAGATTGGAATTAGAAGGTTCTCTTCTCAGAGAGAGTCATTGATTTGTGGAATTCTCCTCCACAGAGAACACTGGAGGAAGAGTAATTGGATAGTTTTAAGCCTGCATTAGAATTTCTGATTGACGTAGGAGTCAAAATATATTGGGGGTAGACAAGAAAATGGTGTTGAGGCCAGAATTTGATCTGTCATGATCTTATCAAATGGTGGACCAGGCTAAAGGGACCAAATAGACTACCCTTGATCCTAATGTGTACGTTCATATATAAATTACTCAGCTATGTAGGGCATAATTTCAACATTTGGGATAATACAAAATTTGGATACATTGTGAACCCTGAAGAGGACAATGATAGTCTTAAAGAGGAAATAGAGAGGCTGGACTTTCAGTGGTATCCTCCTTTGATTTAGCGGAGCTTGCCCTTAGAGGGTCAGACTGCCTTTAGGAGCTGGATGTTAGGTAGACCATATCCTCACACTATGGCCCTTGTTTTACCATAAGCCTGTTAGCAACACAGGTTCCACTTGGCTGCACATGGATATGAGAAGATATCACAATGTTATATTCTGCAGCCACTGTGTGTTCTAGAAGAGGGAATGAATGTTTAGGGTGGTGCATGCTGTGCTAGTCAAGCATGTTGCTTTATCCTAGATGGTGTCAAGCTTCTGGAGTGTTGTTGGAGCTGCACTTATCTAGGCACGAGGAGAGTACTCCATTGCACTCCTGACTCCTGACTCCTGCCTTCTACCTGTGGGCAGGCAGGAGGTGAATTAATCGCTACATAATTTCCAAACTCTGATATACATTTGTAGCCAATTAGCCTAGTCCACCATTCAATAGTATTATGATCAGATCAACTCTCCTGTTAATTATAACCTTTGACTCTGTTGTAGTCAAAAATCTGGCACACCCAGCTTTGGATATATTCAGTAACCCACCTCTAACTGTTCTCTGCAGGAGAGAATTCCAAAGACGACTGACCCTCTGAGAGGGGAAATTCCTGTCATCTCTGTCTTAAATGGGAAACATATTATTCTGAAACTATGCTCCTAATTCTAGGTTCACTCAGAATCTTATATTTCAATAAAATCACTCCTCATTCTTCTAAATTCCAGTCAGTATCAGACCAACTTGCTCAACATTTCCTCATGAAGGCAACCCTTCACCCCAGGAATCAGCCAAGTGAACTTTCTTTGAAGTGCTTCCAATGCAAGTATGTTCCTCCGTAAAAACAGTAAAACTGTATGCAGCAGTCTGTATGTGATCTCACCAATGTCATCTACAACTGTAGCAAGACCTCCCTACAATAACATAATCTCCCTTGCAATACAAGCCAATATGCCATTTGCTTTCCTAATTACTTGCCATATCTGAATGCTAACATTTTGTGATTAATATACTAGAACACTCAGATCCCTCTGTACTAATTCTGTTCTTTATGCATACAGGCTGCCTGACCTGCCAAGTATTTCTAGCAGCTTCTGTTTGCATTTAACATTTCCAGCATTCGCAGTATTGTGTTTTTTTTAGATAAAGAAAGCACAGTTGGATTCTCTTTTTTGCTGGAGATGGTCATTGCCTGAGACATGTCTGGTACTTGCCACTTATCACTTACCAGCACAAGCTTGGGTGTTGTCCAAGTTTTGTTGCATATGGGCATAGACTGCTTTCAGTATCCGAGCAGCTGCAAATTATAAATTGTGCAAATATTTGCGATCATCCTCACTCTGACTTTACATTGAAGGTAGGTCATTGACAAAGCACCTGAAAATTTCAGAGACCTAAGACATACCTTGAGGAACTCCAGCATTGATTTCCTGTGGCTAAAATGACTGACGTCTAACAACCACAACCATCTTCCTCACTGCTTGGTAAATTCCAGCAACCGCAGCATTTTTTCCAGTTGCCATTGAACAAATGTGTACTAATTGAAATGTGTGTCTGGAACTATCCTAAAATAAATTAAGAACTAGATGAGGTAACTTGTTTTCATTCAGTTTACCAAGACTTTGCATAATATCCCTTTATTTTCTTTCAGTGAGTCCGACTTGTTTCCCCTGGACTCTAGGACCATCTGGGCTGCAGAGGAAGGGTGGTTGGTATTCGATATTACAGCCACAAGTAATCATTGGGTCGTGAATCCAAACATTAACCTGGGCCTTCAGCTCTTTGTGCAGACAACCACAGGTAAGATTCAGACTCCGGCACTGTCGGCTATCCTACCTTTGCATTGTAGAAAAGTGTGTTAACCAGCAGTCTCTAATTGTATCCGAAGTTTTGCTTCCATCTGTACTTATTTACATGTGTCTAAACCTGTACCTTCACTAGTACCCATACTTGCATCTGAACCAGTGAGTAACTTTAACTTAACCTGCTCACCAAAAAGTGGATGGGTTTAAACCATCAGATTATTTTACTTTTTCTTTGATTTTGTGGGTCTGGTCCAATGCTTTCAGCTTCCCCTGGGGAGACTAATTAAACTTTAAACTTACACTTTATATCGCAACACATGCATACATCTAAACCTGGAAAGGTCATGATGAGCTTCCTTCTTGAACCACTGTAGTCCATGTGGTGTAGGTGCACCCAAAGTGGTAATATAAAGGATCTTGACTCAGTGTCAGTGAAGGAATAGTGATATTTCCAAGTCAGGATGATGTGTTGTTTGGATAGGAACTTGCAATGAATCTGCTGCTCTTATTATTCCAGGTGGTAGAGGCCAAAGGTTTGGAAAGTGGGTTTGAAGGAGCCCTGATGAGTTGCTGCAGGTCCATCTTCGATATAGAACACACTGCTGTAACTCTGCATCAGAAAGGAAGTGTGTATTTAAGGAGATAGAAGGGGCACTAATCAAGTGGGCTGTTTTGCTCTGAATGGTCTCAAGCTTCTTCAATGCTGATGGAGCTGTACTCATCCAGGCAAGTGGACAGTGTTACTCACAGTCCTGACTTTTGCCTCATAAATGGTAGGCAGATTCTGAGGAGTCAGGAGGAGAGTTACTTGCCATAGAATTCTTAGCTTCTGATCTGCTCATCGAGCCACAATATTTGAGGCTGGCTCAATTCAGTTTCTGGTCAACAGTAACCTCAAGGATGTTGATATAGGGGAATTCAGTGACGGTTATGCCATTGAATGTTAAGTGGCGATGGTTAGATTGTTAGATTTATTGGAGATAGTCATTGGCCGGAACTTATCTGACACGAATGTTACTTGACACTTGTCAGCTCAAACCTGGATACAGACCAGATCCTGAGTCGTTCAAATGCAGACTGCTCAGTTCCTGAGGAATTGCGAATGGTGCTGAACACTGTGCAATCATCAGCAAACATCTCCCAATTGTGACTTATGAAAGAGACAATGTCATTGATGAAGCAGCTGAAAATGTTTGGGTGTAGAACACAAACCTGAAGAACTCATGCAAAGATATCCTGGAGCTGAATTAATTGGCCTCCAACAGCCACTATAATTTTCCTTTTTGGTAAATATGACTCCAACCAAATGAAAGGTTTTCCTTTATTTCATACCAACTTCAATTTTTCCATTGCAATCACTCTCTCATCACCTCTGGAATTTAGCTTTTTTGCCTATGTTTGAAGCAAAACAGTAATGAAGTCTGGAGATGAATGGCCTTGGAGCAGCCCAAACTGAAGATTGGTGTGAGCAGGTCATTGCTGAGTAAGTGCTACTTGATAAAGATTTTGTTGTCAATGCCACCACTTTGCTGGTGATTGGTAATTGCAAGGACGGCAATGAGATAGTAATTGGCCAGATGGGATTGCTCTGTTTTTTTTTGTGGGCTAGGAATACCAGTGCAGTTCTCCACATCTTTGTAACTGTAATGAAATAGCTTGGCTGAAGATGTAGCTAATGCAACATCCAGTGTGTTCAGCTATGTTTTTTTGAAATGAATTGAATTAGCTGAAGACTGGCCTCTGTAATGCTAGGAATCTCAAGAGGATGCTGAGATGGAATATCCACTTGGCATTTGGGTTGAGGATGGTTGCAAATTTTTCAGCCTTGCCTTCTCTATTGAGCGGCTGGGCTCCCCATATGAAAGGTGAAACCTCCTCCTGTGGTTAGTTGTTGAATTACCACCACCATTCATAACTGAATGTGTAAGGACTGCAAAGCTTAATCTGTTGGCTGTAGAATCGTTTTCCTTGTCTATCACATGCTGCTTCCACTGTTTAACATATGAGTAGTCCATTGTTGTAGCTTCACCAAGTTAGCACCTCCTTTTCTTGGTATGCTTGTGCTGCTTAAAATCACAGAATAGTTACAGTACAGAAGAAGGCCAGTCATAGAGCCATAAAGCTCTTCAGCATGGAAACAGACCCTTCGATCCAATTCGTCCATGCCAACCAGATATCCTAAATTAATCTGGTCCCATTTGCCAGCATTTGGCCTATATTCCCATTCAGATACCCATCCAGATGCTGTTTAAATGTTGTAATTGTACCAGCCTCCACCACTTCCTCTGGCAGCTCATGCTATACACACACCATCATCTGCGTGAAGTTGCCCCTCAGGTCCCTTTTAAATCTTTCCCCTCTCATCTTAAACCTACGCCCTCTATTTTTGGACCCCCCCATCCTGGGGAAAAGACTTTGTCTATTTACCCTATCCATACCCCTCATGATTTTATAAAGCTCTATAAGGTCACCCCAAGCCTCCAATGTGCCAGGGAATATAGCCCCAGACTATTCCGCCTCTCCCTATAGCTCAAATCCTCCAACCTTGATAACGTCTATGTAAATCTTTTCTGAATCCTTTCAAGTTTCACAACATCCTTCCTATAGCAGGGAGACCAGAATTGAACGCAGTATTCCAAAACTGGCCTAACTAATATCCTGTACAGCGCAACATGACCTCTCAACTTCTATATTCAATGCACTGACCAATAATGGCAAGTATACCGTACACCTTCTTCACTCTCCTGTCTACCTGCGACTCCACTTTCAAGGAGCTGTGAACCTACACTCCAAGGTCTCTTTGTTCAGCAACACTCCCCAGGACCTTACCATTAAGAGTATACCTCCTGCCTTGATTTGCCTTTCCAAAAATCTAAATTAAACTTCATCTGCCACTCCTCGGTCCATCAGCCCATCTCATCAAGGTCCCGTTGTACTCTGAGGTAACCTTCTTCACTGTCCACTACACCACCGATTTTGGTGTCATCAGCAAACTTACCAGACTGCCTCCCAGTCATCCCATGGTATACACGTTGGCTTTTTGAATGAGCAATTTATTTGCCCCAGTCGCATTTTTTTTCTCGTTCCTGGCTTTCCCCCTGTAGCTGTGTGCTTTCTTCTTTTCAATATATTGGTCTTAACTTCCTTTTGGAAAGAATGTTTCAATTGAAGCTGCTGACACCACACCATAAGGCAAAGCTTTCCAGATCCCAATTACTCGCTGGGTCCTGCACTCTTCATTGAACAGTACTAGGTGTAGAGCTGGATGAACACAGCAGGCCAAGCAGCATCAGAGGAGCAGGAAGGCTGATGTTTCGGGCCTAGACCCTTCTTCAGAAATGGGAGAGGGGAAGGGTGTTCTGAAATAAATAGGGAGAGAGGGATAGGCGGATAAAAGATGGACAGAGGAGAAGATAGGTGGAGAGCAGACAGACCGGTCAAAGGTGAGTGTAGGTGGGGAGGTAGGGAGGAGATAGGTCAGTCCAGGGA